AATAGAAAAAAAATGTATGTTAAATGCTAAGCTTATAATATGCATAGTTGATCGCTAAATTTAGGGGCTATGTGCGCTATAGGCCTACAGACTGAATTACAACATGTGAATTCATTTATTTATCCTGAAAGAAATGGAAGTGACATGAGTGCCTGGTGAAGAGGGAGAAAAGATGAGTAGCCTTTATGGTTATATATACAATACTCATTTTGTGAAAGAAACACTTCTTCAAATTATATTTTAAATGATCATTAGGCCTATTGCCGCTTGCTCACTTCAGACATTAGGCTTAATGTGCATTTTTCTTCTTCAAATTATAGCTGAATGGTTTGCAATGATTAATTTTAAATCTAAATTAAATCGAGGTTTATCTAATAATTGTTGCACCAAACCTCAAACCTTTAAAAATAAGCAGGTTTACATTTTTAACCCATCATTTTAAATAATTTGATTTAATAATCCAATCTGAAGCAAAAACAGAATGTTCTGACTAGCTTTGTGAAATTATACGACATGCCAGTAAACAAAGCAGAGCTGCGCTGAAACACTGCTTTAATGTGAATTATATAATTATATTATATGAGATGAAAAGAAAAGAAAAGAAAATACCATCTAAACGTTTCTGAAGACAGTCAAGCAATTGAACAGGTGTACCTAATAAAGTGGCCGGTGAGTGTATATGGCCTGATATTGGTAGGTTTGGCACAATCACAATTTTGTAACAGGCTAATATATCATTTATAATGATTTTTCTGGCCTGCTGTCACTGAGGCCTTTAGATTCCCCTTCTGACTGCATTAATCTTAAGTAATTCATTTCAAAAGAGATTCAGTAGTTTTCACAAAAGCTCAACATGCATGTGTTGCTCTACTGTCACTGCACTCCTTTCTCTGTTATACGATTACACAATCGCTCTTTGTACGCATGTCTTTCCTGTCTGACATGCATTGAGTAACTAATTCGTCACGTCCCTCTGAGTGCCAGCGACAGATGGCTCAACGGTTTGTAACTCGATCTTTTCTGCCTGAAGACCTTAGTCGTGCAACCTACACGGACTCACTCCAGCGCGCAGCCACCAGCAATGCTGAACCAAACCACGACAGCCAATGAGACTGAAGCGGTCTCAGTAAATATAACAGCAAGAGCACACAGTGTGGGACATTCCTGAGTAAAACACAGATGTTTAAATCAATATCAATGTTATATTAGCATTATTTAATATTCTGAATTTGTTATTTTATATTTTTAGTTTTTATTTTAGTAAACGAAAAAAGAGATTTTTCTAATGGGCATTTGTTATTTTTTTATTAGTTTTTTATTTTTATTTTTTTTAAAACAGCGTAGCAGGACATCATTGAATAAAATATGTTCAAATCAATTTAAAATAAAAATAATGCAGACACGCTTATTTTAATATTATTTATATGCTATTATATCATTTATTATTTTAATTTGATTATTATATATTTTAATTTCTTGTTTTAATTTTAGTACAAGTTTTAGTGATTTTGTTAGTGGCATTTGTATTATTTTTGGGGCATGTGTCATTTGTATTATTATTATAATTTTTTTTTAATATTTCTATGTAGCTTTAATTTACTTTTATTTCAGTTTTAGTTTTAGTAATTTTAGTACTTCAACTTTAATCTCATTTATATACAGTAGATACCAAGGCAACTTTTCTAAAGTTTTTTTTTTTTTAAGTTTTATGTCTAATATTTTTATTTTACTTTATTTCAGCTTTATTTCAATTACTAAAAATTATTTTTAACAGTTTAGTTAACAATAACAACACTATCTAGAGTCTAGACAACTGAAACCTTAAATTCTATTATTATTATTATTATTATTACTATAAATAAATACAATAAAAAATAATAATTAAAATGAAATAAAAGTAAATAAAGGTTTAGTCAAGAAGTGAACTTTTATTAAAAAAAACAAAAAAAACATTTAAACAAGGTTCAATAGCTTATAACTATATTCATAGTATAGCATGAACTTGAATGCCTTTGGTTTGCTAAATTGCTTTTATAAAATGGCAATTACACATCACACAAATTAGCTTTTTCTCACTTCAGTTTTGACATTTGTAATTTTGTAATGTGTAAAGACTATTCAAACTCAAACTCAACTGACCACTTTTTGTTCGATCATTTCAAATAGCGGTTCCCAAACTTCTACTCCCATTACTTTTCAGATCCACTCAAACTCTTGCTACACCTGGTTCACAGACCCGAGGCGAGCACCAGCTCACAAGAACCTGAATGAACCTGCATGATTTCGGTGGAAAAGTGGTATCAGTCAGTGCAATGAGTGGGGTACAAATGGTTATCTGCATACCAACGTCAACACGTCTGCACTGTTTCTGCTTAGCACACTATTTTCTGCAAACCATCTAAAATACATTCACAACCAAGGGTATTATTACACAAATTCACGTTACCTAGCCATTAATTCAGTGTAACTTCATAACTCGCCTGAGGTCAACAACTGTGAAAGCTGAAGCACCACACCTGCATGCTGTCATCCAACCCTGCCACAGAAATAATACTCGAATTGAATATAACTGCTAAATAATGATTAAAAATGGACCACAAACACAGATTTTAACGTCTTCCAGGTAGAACTAGTGAAGTTCTTTGTCTACAACCACAAGCTCACAAGACTTGAGCAACAAACAGGTTAAACCTGACATGGAAATCCTTAGACTAAATTCCTGATTATTTGCTGAATGTCAGAAGTTCGTGACCGGTTACACAAATCTCTGTAAGGCCTACTAGAAGTGAGATGCGTTATAGACAGAACAAATTTGTGAAGTGCACTGTAGTTCCACCCAGCAATTGTTTCTTCATTCTCACAGTTGATCTCACCTGAGTGAATAGGTATATCCCGTGTTATCTGGAGTACAGTGAGGAGGAGTATACGTGTGCAGAGGGGAAAAATCCATGGTAATTCGCTGAGCGTGCTGTGAAGATCAAACCAGATGTGAAGAGCAGACTTCTGAAACTACAGCAACAGCTAACGTGTGATGATGGGTGTGACTTACACACACACACACAAGGTCTGCGGTTCAGCCTGCCTCTGGGAGGAATCCCGATCTGCAACAACTTTAGTTTAATGGTTTAGTCTGATTCAGGTGATTGAACACAAAGCTAGTGGTAACTATAGACAACACCTCTTTCATAGTAAAAACTGTGCTCTTTAATGTGGAAACACTTCATCTGATATTGCCGATCAAACAGGATGTGACGGACCACACCTACAAAAATCAACAACACTGTCCAGTGTGACTCGCACTAACAGGACAGTGAGAGCACAGAAACTTTAACATGTAATGCATTTACACAGATATGCTTCTCTACAACTTTTCTAGCCAGTCATGATTACTGAATGAAGACTTCTAACATGTTTATAGAAACTGCACTCACAGAGCGCAATTCTCAGGCAATTAAATATCATTTTATAGCTGAGCATTATTAGCTACACTTATATTTACTATAGAATTTTTGGTAAGAGTTTACAAAAAAAATTACAATGAATTAATTAGGTATCATGAACTACACTGAAAAAAATTGTAGAAAAAATATTCACTCAGAAATTGCTAGCAAATGTCACAATTACAAAGAAACGGCAAGAAGCACATTGAATTAAACAAAAATTTGAAGTAGAAAAATTGAAGTAGCATTTTCTTGTAAAATGTACTCTGATAATCTTTGTTTTATTTACAACTTTGAAAAACCATTTAACAGTGTAAATATGCACAATGTTTGTACAGCGATTATTCATATTATTGTTTATTATATTTATATCATTAATATATTTTTACATTTAATAAAAAACATATCAAGTTAATTTTATAATTAATTACCAAGTTATAAATAAATATATCATAATTAAATAAACATTACTATTAGGTAAGTATGTACAAAAATTAATCACCAGTGAACAAAAGTATATTTACAAATTAACATTAACCTTAATATCAAAGAATGCTGTAGGCTAAAAGTTGCTGTTGTTAGTTCATGACACCCTATGCATTAACTAACAAAATCTAAACTTATTGTAAAGCGCTACTTAAATTTCCATGAAACTGTATCATTTTATTCAATCACAATTTAGATTTAAGTTTTGCATGGTTTGGTTTGTTGTGTCATCGCTGAAGGCTTTGTTTAGTCATCTGTAGACTAGCAGAGCTTAAACTAACCTAAACAAACAGTAAGAGTTTAACTTTCAACTTTAACTCATTATCTAGAAGTACTAAACTCATTATGTTGACATGAAGATTCAGCTGGATCAAAACTGTCCTGGACCTTTTCAAAAGTGCCGATTAAAATAAGCATCTGAATGAACAAAGCACTATGGTATCAATTATCACAATATTCAGATAATAATAATAATAATAATAATAATACACTGTATTACCCAAAGTCAAATATCATGTTTATTTTGTTTACCTTTCCTCTAAATGCATGTCTCGACATTCTCAAAACCAGAGGAGATCCAGAAAACCACTCTCCAACATCCAAGAGACAGGCTGAACATCCAGAGAAAATCTTTCCCACCTCTTTTTCTTGTCTAAAACGCACACTTCACAAGCCCAAACAAGCACAGCAATGTATCAGACATAATAGTGCAATAAACCAAATCAATGGTGAAAACCATGAGCTCCTTTCTTTGTGCATAAGGACAGACAAAATAAATCAGGGTTTATGTTTTCTTCTTGATCTATTGTCACGCCTTCACGCTCTTCTGCAGCTTTATCACTTGTGGAAAAGGTGCGTTTGCATTTATAAACAAGATAGACGCACAGCTCTCCAGATTTGGCGTCTCATATCTGCCCCTCTGCTACATTTGGGATTGCAACATTGGCTGCGTCTCAAAAACTAGTGAGCCGCCTAAATAGACAGCACATTTGGGAATCGCAGACGTTCAAATCGACCCGTATTTGCATATGACGGAACTTTCGATTCGATGCCCGAAAAGTGACTCGATTTCATTGTTTAGAATGAGTCTATAATGCTGACTATGTAGGCAGCTCACTAGGTTTTGACACACAGCCTTGGATTGCAACACTGTATCAGCTCAGTTCTTTTATCTAAACGCGTAAAGGGATTTCTGCGCACTTCACTAGGTTTACATCTTAAGCTTTGTATAATATATCATACTTCTTACAGATATAAAGCCCTGGTTGCGTGAATGACAGTTAACCCAGGGTCATGTTTTCTGTCAAGAGTTTGGAAAGAAAGGAGCTCCACTGACTGTCCACCAAAGAACGGATATAAAATACACTTAAAATATCGATGCATCTGTGCATAGAGCTTGAATGAAATCATAAATAGCAACGAAATATTCCAGCACTTGCCAGTTTGACCATCAGTTTCTATAATCTCTTGTTGTTTTGAAGGTAGTCCAGTTCAGAAATGACAATCCAGTTGAAGGATGCGCAAAATCCGTGCCGCATCTCGACGGGAATTTAAAGATAAAAAAAAAATAATAATAACTGCGTATCCAAACATCAGATCCGAATTCCGCGATCTCCGTGGGAATAGACAAAAGTTACGAGCTATACTCACAATTACTACTAGGAAAATCCCAAAATGGCTTCCATAACAGAGTAAAGCCAGACGGATGAAGTCGTTCCTCCTATTTTCCAGGCTCAACTGTCAATCACGCGGCGTACTTTGAATCTATTGGTGGAAAAGACGCGAGTCACGCCTTCCCGCTCTACGTCACACAGCCTTGGAGATGAGGATTCAAAAGCGCCCGTTCAACAAAAAAAAAAATACAACAAATTTAAAAAAATACAA